ACCAGTTTATTCCCGAGGTAGTAATCCGAAGGTATGGAATGAAGCAAACTTGATTTGCCTGGGAAGCTAATATGGAAGCCTCGAACTTGTTGTACCTACAAAAATAAAGATCAATGTAAAAATTAATTAATACTCGAAACCTGGATATAAAAAAAAAAAGAATTTGTTGTACCTTCCTCCACCATTGACATCAACTACGCCGTTCTGGTTAATCTGAACATCTCTGTTGACGACGGGGACATACCACTCACACTTGAAGATAACGCATTTCAAACTCTTACCTGGGAATTGAACTTCATAAATCTCCTGCAAAATCCCGTAGAAATATGTTTCGCCTTTCACACATATTCCATAATTACTTGTCGCCCGGTGTCTACCATAGTCATAGGTATGAAAAGTATAGCCCCAGGTGAAATACATCGATGATGTAGTGACCTTTGCAACTGGACCTTGAAGTAATTCTCGAAACCATGCGGGATACTCAGGATCGTCATAATCAACCTGCAACAAAAAGTAATATAACTAGATATTAGACTTACTTTGTGGTAATGTATGCATAAAATTTAAGTAATAATAAATACATGTTTCCTCAACCACTTGATAAAGTGTTGAACTTTCCTTTTGTCTAACTCAGTTGTCGATATACCAGGTATTGCTTCCTCAACTTGAGTCACAAATTGGCTGTAAAATCATATATGTTATGTTATATATTTAATATTGAAAAGAAAAAAAAATAATATATATATATATAGAAGTGTGTATGTTTATATATTTACCTTTCAAAATAAGCAATCAATGGATGCTCGCAATTAAGAAGAATATAAAGGTCTGCACTATGGACGTCATCACTCGGCCACCAAACCTCTTTCAATTTCCCACCCAATCGCCCAATTTGAGAAAAGATGTCTGGAACATCGACTTCCATATATGTCGGCACGATACCACCATCATCATATCTTCTTGGAGCTCGTTTCCTTGTACGTACTTTCGGTGGAAAGTAGTACGATGTGAAATGTGATGTTTCTTTCGTCAAACTGCCCGCAACAATAGAACCTTCAACTCTTGCTAGGTTTTTGGATTTTCCTTTCACAGTTTTCATGGCCCTTTCATAATGATACATCCATCCATAATGCACAGGTCCACGAAGTAATGCCTCATACGGGAGGTGGAAAACTAGGTGTTCCATGACGTCGAAAAAAGTAGACAAAAATATTTTCTCCAAGTTGCAGATTAAGACGGTGATGTTTTCATGAAGTTGTTGGACAACTTCCATTTTAAGAGTGCGGGTGCTCAGATCCCTAAAAAAAGCTTCAAATCCTTATATATTACAAAAACAAAAATTATCCACATTAGTATATATATATAAAGAAATAAATTAATCATATCATCGTATTATATTAATTAATTACCTGAAAGTGCTTCATGTACTTTTGCCGGTAGTAGCTCCGCAAACGCAAAGGAAGTGGTCGCTGCATAAAGACATGACAATCATGGCTCTTCATCCCGAAGAACTTTTGCCCTTTCTCAACACATCTTGAGAGATTTGAAACATACCCATCAGGGAACTTCACTTCTGAAGCCACCCAGTTGAACAACGCAAACTTTTTTTTCTGATGACAGTCTGAATATTGGAACTGGAACTTGCCCATTGTTTTTTATATGTAGCTCACTCCTTGAGAAGATATCGGGTAAGTCCAGCCTCGATTTTACGTTGTCTTTCGTCTTCCCTGGGACATTCAATATAGTGTTCACAATGTTCTCAAAAAAGTTCTTCTCTATATGCATCACATCGAGGTTGTGGCGCAAAATAAGATCTTTCCAATATGGCAATTCCCAAAATATACTCTTTTTGTGCCAATTGTGCTGAACACCATAAGAATCAAGCATATTACTGGGAACATACCAATTCCCACCACGAGTAGCTGTTTCTAGAGCATCGTAGTAATCAATTTGCGCTTCGATCTGTTCTCCAGTTAAATATGGAGAAGGAGTGTCTCTGACAACCCTTTTGTGCCTGAACAATTTCTTGTTTCTTCGGTATAGGTGGTAAACGGGAAGAAATTGACGATGACAATCGAACCAACTAGTCTTCCTACCATGCTTCAACTGAAACACATCTGTCATTCCATTACAATATGGACAAGCTAATCTCCCGTAGTCCGCCCAGACAACATCCAATATGCAGGAAAGTCACTTATGGTTCACAAAAGCATCGCTCACATCGTAAAGTTTGTTTTCGTTGAACAATCATATGTCCTCACCCCTGTTGACCACAAATCTTTCAACTCTTTTATCAGTGGTCGTAGAAAAACGTCGAGAGATATTTTTGGATGTTTTGGACCATGTATTAATATGGTCATGAATAGAAACTCTCGTCGCATGGACATCTCTGGTGGCAGGTTGTACGGCGTAAGAAAGACTGGTCACAATGAATATTGTCTGCCAGACATTCCAAATGAACTAAATCCATCAGTGCATAATCCAAGATACACATTTCGACTATTGCGAGCGAAATGTGGATGTACATTGTTAAAATGTTTCCAAGCTCTTGGATCTGATGGATGAGTCATCTCCCCATCCGTCTGAGTATGCTCAGTGTGCCATCTCATCCCTCCAGTAGCCTCCTCAGATTGGTACAATCTTTTCAATCTGCATGTGATTGGTAAGTACCACATCCTTTGGTACGGTACCCTATTATGTCCTCGTCCTTGCGGTTTGAATCGTGACTTCTTACAAAATCGACATTCTTTTAACTTCTGATATCTCCCCAGTAAATTATGCAGTTGTCGATGCAAACGTCTATCATCTCCGAGGGCAACCCAAGACTATATACCAATTTCTGAATCTGATAATAAGATTTAGCGGACACATTGTCTTCTGACAAATACTCTTTAAACAAGTTTGTCCATGCATTCATACAATTTTCAGGTAGATTGTGATCGGTTTTAATACTCATCATTCTAGCAGCCAACGACAATTTAGACAGACCTTCTCTACAACCACTGTAAATTGGCTCATTCGCAGCTTCTAACATTTCATAAAACTTTTTTGCATCTAAGTTAGGTTCTTCAACTTCATCATCATCATGAGTTACAAATGCATCACCTACCATANTTAATACTCATCATTCTAGCAGCCAACGACAATTTAGACAGACCTTCTCTACAACCACTGTAAATTGGCTCATTCGCAGCTTCTAACATTTCATAAAACTTTTTTGCATCTAAGTTAGGTTCTTCAACTTCATCATCATCATGAGTTACAAATGCATCACCTACCATATCATGAACCCTATCACAATCTACCATTTGTTGCTCTTGGTGATGATAGCTATTTTCATTACGCAAATGATCAACCGGTTCAACCTGAAAATTGATATTACTACTGCTACCTTCATTCCTACAACTAGCATCGTCTTCTCCATGTTGATACCAAATATAATAATATGGCATGAAACCTCTATTTATTAAATGCTTCCAAACATTTTCACGAGGGCCTAATCTGTATTGCAGCATTTCCGACAAGGACATAACATCTTACCACTTTCCTGCGTGAGTGGTTTAGAATCTACTTGATGCATAAACGTCTCCAACCCTTCGAGAAATTCTTTCGTCACCCTCCCATTATTATCTCTGTGTGAATACATCCACTTTCGCAACTCGAAAATATTTCTCGGACCGGACATTTTTTTGTGTTTGATCAAGCTTATAGCTGATTTTTTTTTTTTTGGTGTGTTTCAAATGAATCACAAATGGTGGTATTTATAGAAATTTTCGAATATGAGCATTTACTAAGAAATTGCTAGGAAATGTAGGTACAAAACACGTTTTTGATTTAAATTCGATATTTTCTATCCAGTTCCTCCTAATTTCGTAGTAACAAATTCATTCCTCCTAATTTCGTAGTAAGGTTTTACTAGGACTTTACGAGGAAAATTATTACTACGAGTTTACGAGGAAATTGACTTTTGCCATGTAGTTTTCCTTGTAAAACCGAAGTAAATTCGTTGTAAATTTATGAGAAATTATTTTTCTAGTAAAATTTCATAGTAATTTCTTAGTTTTCTTGTAGTGTTAGTATCATATATATTGCGGTTTATATATTTAAATTTATGATATCAAATAAAACTTATGTGAATAAGAAGTGAAATTCAAGCGTATAAAAATGAAACATGTGCTAGCAAATAAAACGGTGTAAATAGTTATAGCATTATTGTGGTATATATTGTCTGCATTCAAAAATTAGTGAGAAATATGATTTTAACATTTTTTTGTCTCAAGTAATATAATATTTATATATTATTATGAATATGTATGTAAATAGAATAATATATTAACACAAAGCAAAAATCATTTTATTACCTATATATGTAAAAGTTTAATCAATTAGTGATATGTGTCTAAATTTGACTAATTGCAATTATGTCTTTTACAAAACAGAAGTTATTTCATATGTTCATATTTAGTGAAAACGTATCCAATTTTAATCAACAGTTGTTTAGATAATAATATTTAATTCATGAATATGTATGTATATAGAATAATATATTAATACATACAAAAAACCAGTCTGTTACCTAAATATGTAAAAAGTTAATGAATTAGTGATATGTATCCAAATATGATTAATTATAATTATGTCTTATACAAAAGCAGTAGTTATTTCAAATGTTTATTTTTAGTAAAGCGTATTCAGTTTTAGCTAACAACTGTTTAAATCATAACAATTTTATTATTATATATTAATCTGACCAAAATTTAACTAAGTTATGAATATAATCTATATTTAAACATCTTTAATGACGTCACTATAATGATGTTGTGTCTCTAAGTGAAACGTAACAATTGTTAGTTCCACTATATATATATACAGATATGCAACCATAAACCCAATCACATAATCAAAACAATTTAAAATACTTCAATTGGGTCCCAACATTTGAATCTTTGCAATATTTACCCCCAAACTCCGTCTCTTCCTCTCTCTCTCGCCATTAAAAAGCTGCACCACCATAAACCCTAAAAAACTCTCAGCCGCCGCTTTTGCACTTTTCGGTGGAAAAAAATGGCGAAGAAGAAGGCTTCTCGTAACTCCAACGTAGCTTCCACCGAGCAGCAGCAACAACAGACGACGCAGCAGCAGAAGAAGAAGCCGGCGGAGCTCAGTCGTGAGTTCTCGATGGAGGACCACGACTCGTCGGAGGAGAAGTTCCAGAACCTGAAGTCACTCAACGCGATTCTCCTCAAGCAGACCGTGGAGAAGAGGCAGCAGATCGAGTCTCTCTTCCAGGAGAAGGAATCGTTGGAGTCCGAGTTGACTCGTTCCGGCGCGGTGACGACTCAGTTGAGGGAGGAGTTGCGTGGCTCTGGGGATGAGAGTTTGGTGTTGAGGCTTGAGATGGATTTGTTTGTTGGTATTGTGGAGAGTCGGTTAAGGGAGATGTTGGTTAGGGAGAGGAGTGAGAGGGAGTGTGAGGTTAAAGATCTGATGGGGAAGTTAGAGGAGGAGAGAGGGGAGTTAGTTAGGGTTTGTGGTGAGAGGGATTTGAAGAGTGAGGAGGTGAATAGGTTGAAGGAGAGTGTGGTAAAGATGGAGATGAAAGGAAGGTTTTTGGGGGAGGAAGTTGATGACTTGAAGTCTGAGAACGGTAGGATGGTGAAGGAGATGGAGAAGAGAGATGAGATGATTGAGATGGTTAATAAGGAGAGGAGTAGCTTGGAGAAGGCCGTTGAAGAGAAGGTTAGGGAAGTAGATGAGGTGAAGAGAGAAATGAAAGGTATTTCGATGGAGAAGATGGAGGTGGAGATGGTTAGTCGTGATCAGAAGGAAATGATTGTGAAGTTAGAGAAGAAGGTGGAGAATTTGAGTGAGGTTGTGGAGAGTTTGACTAGGGAAGAGAAGGGTTTGCGTGATCAGGTTATTGGGTTGGAGAAGGATCTTGATGAGGTTATGGAGAAAGCTAAAGCAAGGGAGGAGAGGATTGTTGAACTGGCGAAAGAGAAATCTATCAAGGTTTCTGAGATTGAGGGTTTACTGGCGGAGAACGTTTCAATCAAGAAACAGATGGAGATGGCTCTGGCGCAGTCCTCTGAGAAGGAGAAGCTGGCTGACCAATTTGCGCGTGAGAAGGTCGATCTTTTGGAGCATATTACTAAGCAGAAAGCTGAGTTTGATGAGATGAGTAAACTAGCGGATGAGCAAAAGCATGTTTTGGTGCAGCTGCGGAATGATTATAATGATCAGATCAAGACTAGTGAGAAGCTTAGCTGCAACGTTAGCCAGCTTAAGGATGCTCTAGCCCTGGTTGAGGCCGAGAGAGACAATGCCGGGAAGGCTCTTGATGAGGAGAAGAAGAGTCGGTTGGTTCTTAAGGAAAAGGTTGTAGAACTAGAGAAAATGATTCAAGCTTCTGGTAAAGAGCTTGAGAAGATCAAGGCTGAGCGAGGGAGATTGACTAAGGAGAAGAAGGAACTGGAGAATCGTTCTGAGGCAGTGAAAAAGGAAAAGGGTATTCTCCAAAAGGATCTTGTGGAGCTCAAGAAAGCTATGGGTGTGTTGAAAACAGAACTGGAATCTGCTGGAACCAATGCAAAACGTGGTCTAACAATGCTTAAGACTGTGTCCTCTCTAGTATGTGGACAAGACAACAAAAAAGGCGAGCAGAAGAGAGGAGAAAAGGGAGTGGATTCATACTCTGTGGAGCTGGAAGCGATCAAGAAAGCTTTCAAGAACAAAGAAAGCATGGTTGAGGAAATGAAGAAGGAAATAGAGACAATGGAGCATTCGGTCAAAGATGCACATGACAAGAAGAGCTTTTGGACCCTTGTGTCATCTATTACTACTCTCTTCATGGCTGCTTCTGTTGCCTATGCTGCTGCGATTAGGTGAACGCTTGAAGATGGTAGTGCCCTTTTAACTCTCAGACAGCATTATCGCATTTAAGTTTTCTATTTTTCAGTTGTTTAACTTCTAAACCGTTTGAGCATCTTATGAGTTGTTTACTCATAAACTCTCTATGTAGTTTTCTTGAACAACTATATGATGTAAACCTTTTCCCTTTCATATCTGTGGTTCTGCTACTATTCTCTCAGAACATGTAGCTGATCTTCAGAAATTCTAATAAAATTGTTAGTTTCATATCCTTTATAAATTGCAACTTTTAGTTAAAAAGATTTTATGTTTTCAACTTCCTTAAGTACCACTTACCCAGTTATCATGTTATAACTTTCATACAAGCACTAACCAGTTCTTCATGGCCATAACATCCTGTATAATATCAGTTGCTCAAAAAAAAAAACATCCTGTGTAATATCACTACCGGACTGTAATTATGTTCTTCTGAACATTTGAATATTTATATTGTACAACTGTTAATTTAGTAAGCATCTGAGAAAATTATTAGAATAGCACAGAAAAACTGGTATATGACTAGAATAATATATATATTTTCTAAAATTATTATAATGTTTTCAGATCCGTAAGAAATTACAATAAAAACTCTTGTTTAATTTTACTTTTGTTAAGATTAATTTTAATTATCAAATCCACATCACTAATTAGGTAATCCACGTCACTAACTTTTCTGACACGGGAAAATTAACCGTCCTCATATTTTCGGTGAGTAGACAAAAAAATCATAACGTCATAACTTTATTTCTTCGTCGTTAAACTCTAACCGTTACCCATATCGTCTCGTCTCAAACTGTCTCTGATATCGTCTTTGTTGAAAACGTCTTCTCCGCAAAAGTTTCTACGCAATCGTCTTCATCGCAATCGTATCTACGAAATCATCTTCTCCGGTATGTTGTGACTGAGTTTGATTTACGATGTGAATGAGTTATAGATTGTGTTGTAACTGAGTTATTTTAACTTTGGCTGAGTTTGATGTACGTTGTGATCTATTGCGGCTGAGTTATAGATTATGGTGTGGCTGAGTTATTGATTATGTTGTGGCTGAGTTTGTTGTATTATGGCTGAGTTATACTATGTTGTGGCTGAGTTTTATTTTTATTACGACTGAGTTATGTATTATGATGTGGTTGAGTTTGTTGTATTATGACTGAGTTATACTATGTTGTGGCTGAGTTTTGTTTCTATTACGGCTGAGTTATTTGATATGTTGTGGCTAAGTTTGTTCTATTATAGCTGAGTTATACTATGTTGTGGCTGAGTTTTCTTTCTATGACGACTGAATTAATGTTGTGACTAAGTTAATTTTTCTTTTGCGACTGATTTATATATATGTGTTTTAAGATCAGATGAATGTTTCTGAAGATCAAGCACGAGATTATCCTCTAAGACTTACGCTGAATGAGCTTCTAATCTAGAAAATAAAGAGATTAATCACAATTTGCATATGGGAGAATTTCATCTCACCAGAGAAGCAATAGGACGGGATGTGTGGGATTACGTGAAGCAAAGTCCTCTTGGAATAATTGTTAAGCTAGCTGAACACAAAAACGTGTGGTCTGGTAGGACTTTACATTATCTACTATGTAGATAACTTCAAGTATATAAGAAGGAGATTTGGAGTCTAGTTGGTGATGAACCTATCAAGTTTAGCTTACACAAATTTGGTGAGATCACTGGGTAAACACAGATCCAGTGCCAATAAAAAATTTTGAACCTGACCAATACAAAGCGTTTTGAGATAAATGATAAGAATATTCAAGGTATACGGGTGAAGATGACATCAGATATCCTCGAGGAAGGAAAAAGTGAGATGTATCAGCAGTTTATGTAGCCTTTGAACGTTTTGTATTTGACTTTCACTAATAGTACGTTTTATATAACCCAGCTGTATCGTTTCTATAAGTCAGTTGTATCTCTTTATATAACTCAACCATCCAACAAATATACCCTAAAATCAAAAAAAAAAGTTTAATATAACTCAGCTGTATCGTTTCTATAAGCCAGTTGTATCTCTTTATATAACTCAACCATCCAACAAATATACCCTAAAATAAAATAAAAAGTTTAATATAACCCAGCCGTATCATTTCTATAAGCCAGCCGTAATGCTTCATATAACTCAGCATACCACAAACAGACCCTAAAATAAATAAAAAACTTAATATAACCCAGCCGTAACGTTTCTATAAGTCAGCCGTAACGCTTCATATAACTCAGTCAAACCACAAACATACTCTAATATTGAAAAATGTACTTTAAAATGTTATTAGCAATTAATATTATCAATGTTAGATGAATATATAATCAACAGAGTGTGTATATTTCATCGAATTTATAAGTTTCGAATTGATCATGATCTTAAGGTATATGTTATCTTAAAAATACTTAAAACTTTATGTGTCTATATAGATGTTGAACGCACCAAGTACAAAGTATACCATATAATTTTTTTTCAACTGAATTTGTATAGTTTCTTATATTTTATAGTGGTACCTAAACCATAAAACCTAAATCATAAACACTAAACCTCAAATAATTAACCCAAACTCTAAAACATAAACATATCCTAAACATAACTCAGTTGTAACATGTCAATAACTCAGCCGAAAAGTGTAACTTAATCGCGAGGTTTCGTATTTTTTGGCGGGAACTAAATACTTGCGAAACACTGGGGTGGACGGGAACATTACACAGCAGTAAATAAATTAAAATTTATATTATTTTTACCTTGACCGTTGATTATTTTAATGTAAAGGTTCAAAATTATCCTTTTATCTATCCTCACTTTTCTTTATCATTGTTTAATATCATTGATTAAATGAAATCTAAATGTCAAAAATCATTCTCTCATTTTCTTATAATTGACAGGACTTAACCGTTTCATCACTCTCTTTGACTATTTTCTTTTTCTGCAAGACGACGAAGAGAGGGAGCATCAGGGTGTCTTATCACCATACAAGAGGGAACGGCAGGATGCCGGATTACCATACAGATACTGGAGGAAAGAAATCTTCTTCTCTAACCAACCACCATCGAAGATGGCGACGACTACAATAGATCTGTCTCGTATTTTACTTTTTTCTTTTGGTTTCTAACTTCAATTTAAGTTTGGATGATGAATCTTGAACCCGTCAGAAGCTTTTATGGTCGACTTGGTTATAACAAAGTCATATTGTAACCATAACTCACCTTTGATTATAACAAAACTGCATTGTAACCATAACTCAGGCATAACGTATACAAAACTCAGCCTTAATTTGATTATAACTCAGCTGTAACGTAGGCCTAACTCAGCCGTAAAGTATGCATAGCTCAGCCTAAACGTGTGCATAATCCAACTGTAATTTGATGAGTTATAACTCAGGTGTAACATATGCATAACTCAGCCGTAACGTATGTATAACTCAGGCATAACATATGTATAACTCAGAACGTTCCTATAAGTCAGATATCAAGTGTAATTTGTTTCGCGACGTTTCATATTCTGGGTGAAAATATTAAAACTTTAAACCCTTCTTAAATTTGAACCTCAAACCCTAAACTATAGAACTATAAAGCTATAAAACTATAAATTTATCTTTTGAACATTAAATCTGATAATTTATATTATTTTAAATTTTAAAGTTTATGTTTAGAGATTAGGTTTATAGTTAAGAGTGTAACTCAGCCGTAAAGTATGCACAACTCAGTCGTAATGTATGCATAACTCAGCTGCAATTTGATGAGTTATAACTCAGCTGTAACGTATGCATAACTCAGCCGTAAAGTATGCATAACTCAGCCGTAACGAATGAATAACTCAGCTGCAATTTGATGAGTTATAACTCAACCGTAACGTATGCATAACTCAGCCGTAAAGTATGCATAACTCAGCCGTAACGTATGTATAACTCAGCCGTAAAGTATGCATAACTCAGACCTAATGTATGCATATTCAGCCGTAACGTATATGAATGGTATAAGCCAGCCGTAACTTTCCTATAAGTCAGCCTTCAAGTGTAATTTGTTTCGCGACGTTTCATTCATTCAACACCGAACACAATATTAAAAATTTAATATCTTCTTAAGTTTGAACCTCAAACCCTAAACTATAGAACTATAAAGCTACAAAAATTATAAATTTATCTTTTGAACATTAAATCTAATAATTTTTATTATTTTAAAGTTTAAAGTTTATGTTTAGAGATTAAATTTATAGTTTAGAGTGAAACTTAGCCGTAATGTATGCATAACTCAGTCGTAACGTATACATAAATCAGCCATAACGTAGGCACAACTCAGCCATAACTTATGAATAACTTAGCCGTAACGTATGTGTTGAAGAGTCACTGTATGAACTAAAGTTATCATATTCAGATGATCCAAAATCTGAGTCATTAAACATATAAAATCAGCTTTCAAATTCATCATCTTCTTCGTATTCTCCTTTTTTCTTTTTTTCTTACAATTTATGAGCTTAGCTTTTTCATTTCTCTCTTTGACTATTTATTCTTCTGCAAGAAGACGAATTCGATAGGAGAGGGAGCAGCAAGATGTCAGACCACCATACATGACACTGGAGGAGAGGAATCTTCTTCTCAACCAACCATCATCGAAGACGACGACTGCAGTAGATCTGTCTCATATTTTTAATTTTTTTTTAATCTATGTTCTTTTAGACCAAATTTCCGAAAAAATAATTACCAGATCCATAAAATCTCAGAGAAAGATAAAGAATAAGATGAAGAAGATAGGTAAAGAAGATGAAGAATGGGAATAATACATTGCGTCTGTAACATAAACTCTTATGTTATCTTTTCAGCGTTAGTAATAACATGGCAAGTAAGAGTTGATGACATGGAAAATCGGTAAGTCAGCCACCAAACGAACACATAACTCAGCCTAAATAATCCAGCCATTAAGTACAATGTAAGCCAGCTGACACATGAATATTATTTCAGTAATTAATCTTTTGCTAATAAATCAACCATAATTAGGATGAAAAATTCTAAGTCAGCCGTATCGTCAAATAAATCAGCCGTCAAATGAATGATATTCTAGTAATTAATCTTTTGCTAATAAGTAAGCCGTAATTATGCTGAGTTTACTGTTAATCCAGCCAGTTACAGCTGCTTAAATATAACTCAGCCGTAACAACCTCTCACAAATCAGTCGTGAATTTAATAACTCATCCAGGCGATGTTCATTAACTCAGCCGACGAAACATAACTTAGCCATGTCTTAACTACAA